CACACACACACACACACACACACACACACACACGCACAGACTAGAATAACATACAAACGTTAAGACCAGTTTCCCTTTTTCCTTCCTTTGTGTTGCAAAGCGGTGAGGTTGAAACAACAGTGTGTACTTGTCAACTATAAATACATCCTTAAAATAAAATAAATAAAAAACAAGTGTATGCAGATATTTGGCTGTATATTCAACAACAATACAAGAAAATCAGGATAATTTCTTAAAAAAAACCTGAAATTATTGAAAAACAAAATAAACTGAAGTCGTGTTTAAATAAAAATGGGGAAGTTAAGTTGTACTTTCAGAGGCACTTACACCTCTGAACATGTTTAACCACAAACACTCTGACAAAGAAACACTGTTAAACTTTACAATTGTTCATCAAAGGTGCAAAACAGCTCCAACAGTCCAAATGTTAAGCCCAGCTTTTTTAGTTTTCCCAGTGTGTTGCAAAACAGTGATACTGTAAACTGTCGGTTCCCCATAAAAAATCTCAACTATAACACTACTCCTTTAAAAAAAAGTATATACGTGGAAATTTTATTAAATATTGAAGTGCAATGCAAAAAAATCTGGAGAATTTTTGGAAAAAAAAAAAGATAACCTTAGGTAATAAAAAATGGAGCCATGCTTAAAAAAGGTTCCTGCATGGTTTATATTTGGGGAAGTTACCTCATATTTTTAACAAACGTCATGTTCCGATAAACATATTTAACCACATAAAGCAATGATATGCAAAAAGGAGTAATAATACAAAAATTTACTCACTGAGAAAGATGAAACAGACCGCAGTGCCACATACTGTCTTCATATTGCTTGTCTTACAAACCAGGAACTTCTCACTTCTCTTAATGATGGACTCCCTCCCCCACACACATCATACAGCTCTACACTTCTCCCCTTTGCTTTAACTTCTTGAACTGGATTCTGTGTTGGTTTAGCTTTTGTGTCTCATCACTTCTAAAGCTACGTTAGGCTGGATTTACATCCTTGGAGTCTAAACAAAGCCGCAAGCCAGATGGCTAGCAAGCTCAACACAAGAACGTGACACATTGCTGTAGAAATAATGATGGATGGATATGAATAAAAAAAATAATCAAAAGAGAAAGTCACAAAGATTATGAATTCAATCTTTTTGCTCACTGAAGATATTCATTTACAACGAATATTTAATAAAGAATATGTAAAAAAGAATTTAGACGCAAAGGACAAAAATAATGAATTGAAATAGAAAGAAAGCCAGCAAAAATAAAGATTAAGTAAAGACTAGAAAATTGGAATACAATTGAGTATTTAGATATATTCATATTTAAAATAGTTTTATTTTTTTCAGTTGCGGTGTCGGTGGTCTTCAACTGTCTGAGAGCAAGGAGTAAAATAAAACAGAATTCAAAATGAAATGCAGAAGAACATGAGATGACAGATGGCTCAACCTTTAGCTGAGTCATCAGCTTCCTGTTTTAAAGAAGGACACCTCTCAATACATTCCAGAAGTTCACAAAAACAAAAAGTAAATAAATACATAAAATTGTTTGTAACCAGTGGGGGGATTAAAATAAGCATAGTCATTAGGGAAAGAGGATATTTTAAAATGTGTACTGGTAAACTTTACACTCATTAATATCCACACACAGAGGTCTGAGGGATCTTTCAGCAACGGTGAAACCAACATCTGTTGAGCTGACTGGTCGTTAGGGAATTATTTCATATCTGATCAGTTCTAGAAGAATACCTGCTCCAGGGCAGGTTAGGTTTAATGGTGATATACCCTGGTAAACTTTAAGAAGTGAAACTTTGTAGTACAGGAAATCCTCTTTTGCACTTGAGGCCTTTAGTAGGAGACAAAAGTTCAGGAACATAGTGTAACATTCATTAAAGTACTGTGTACTGTGCAAGGTTAAAAGAAGTAGCCACCAGAGGGAAACAAAGGTCAACATCAATACTCTGTTATTAAAAATATTTATAACTCACCGCAGGTATATAACAAAAATATTTTGATGACAATGAGTGCATATTTTAGATTTAGATAATCTTTTACATAGTGAACATAATCAATCAGATAAACTGGCTTTTGAATTCAGCCCACTGTGCAATTTGTTTCCTATGAAATAAGAACAGTGAAATAAGAATACAGAACCAAACTGAAAGAAGACAGTATAGGTCGTTTTTCAAATGCAGTAGCTAAGAGAAATGTATCCTTGTTTACTCTATTATAACTATTCATAAAGTGCTTTCAGCTACTCTCAGTACAAAACAACATAAACAACCAGCTTTTACAGTGAACAAGCTTCGTTCCAAAAAACTAAACATCCAGTCGGATAAAATTTACTGCATACAAAGTGTAAATAAAACATAAATATTCTGTTCCATCATCACATCATGTGAACTCTTTTGTTTCACACCGTGGCTTCCAAGTTAAACTTTGAATCATTTGTGAAAAAACATTTCTCAAACACTTTGTTACGCCCCTCTGCAACCTCTATTCTCTTTGCAGTGACAGTGCAAGACTCTTCAGGTGTTGCGCTTTTTTCAGTTTTTATTTTATTTCAATTTTTCGTTTTATAGAGTACAGAGGAGGTGAAGCATCTTTAACATGGTTCCTGGGTCTAGCATGTCTCTGAGGTGTGGAGTAGACAACATCACCTGATTTACCACAGAGGGCGCTGTTAGTTACAGAAATGTGGGAAAAATCCACTTCAGTGTAATCAACTTCATCTGTGTCATTTTCAGCCTGAAAAATAAGTGAGGTTAAACTTTAAACGTACTTAAAAAATAAACCCATCCAGCAGATAAAACAGGAGTGAACAAAAACTTTTTTGCTTTACTAAACTTGTTTTACTGAAACTAAACAAATCACTACAACCTACAACCTCAGCTACTGCATTAAATTATCACCTCACAGAAGCTGAAAATTATAACGTTTAGGAACAAAGGATTTGTCCTGGACTTAAAAAAAAAAAAACTAGCCACGCCTAATAACCCTGAACCAGAGCGTGTTCACTGAATTTGGACATTTTTTATTTTTTACTATTAGCTGGCAGAAAGAAAATATCCTATCAATGATTACTAATGACACTACTCAAACAGGTCTGTTCTGGTTTCTGACCAGTCAGACCGCAGTTCTACTTACTTTACTTTGAGAATAGGTGATGAGGCTGTAAAGTTCGAGGTTTTCAACTCCAGCTCGCTGGCAGGTTTTGGGAAAGGCATCAGCTGAAGACACTTCCACAGGAGGTGAACCGCCGTCTCTTATCTCTTCACACAATCGGTTATTCTGGAAAAAAGAGAACATACTGGCCAGCTGATAAAAATCAGAAGGTAATGAAGACTGCGTGTCTCATAATTTCTAAAACTAACCTGTGTGATATTGGCGTATTCTGTTTCTACAGGAGGTCCTGAAAAATGCAGGTGAGAACACAAACTTAAACACCTTCCAGGAACTACAACCAACTACAAAAAAGAAACTAAACTTGGGAACAATATAAAGAATGAAAACTGAATATCTTTCAACTAAAGATGTATTCAGTGCCACAGCCAAGTCACACTTGACTTAATTCATGCCTATTGTAATCTGCTACATCTTGCATCTTTTTTTCCAGCTGTGCAGATGTTGTGCTTCTGAAATGTTCAGCTTTACCGGGACATCTGTCAGCTTTCATATATCCTAACATCTTAATAAGTCAACCCAGTGGGTATCAGTCTAGTACTTCTAGCTTCTAGTGTAGAAGCATCTGAGAGTCACAGACATGGATAGGTCTACTGAAGTTAAAACCTCTGTCACTACATCATTTTTCATTTTTCTTTTAATGAATTTGAATTTTCCTAAGTCGATGGTTTAGCAATGTATGAAAACTGGTCAATGTGACTCTGTGCTGAACACCTTTCAGTCAAACAATCGAATGTTGTCACAGCAGCTTTTTCCAGATCAGAAATCAGTTTAACAACAATTTTATTTTTCTTTAAGCATTTAACCATCCTAAAACTCGACACCAACATTGTACTTTGTGACCTGAATCCAATTTGTAAACTGACTACGCCTGAATTTTCACTTGTTCCATTGGCAGATTTTTTTCACTTAATACAATAAAAAAAATAAAAAAAATTGTAAGAGATAAGTAAAAAAAAATCTGCAATTGGAACAAGTGAAAATTCTCCAGATCCAAGATGCACTGTCTAAAAACGAGTTCATATATCTCACTGAAATGTTACTGTGTAGCTGATTGTGTCTTATTTTAACTGCGATGAGATATTTTTGACTTGAAATTAGACAAATATACTTGGTAAGTTTTTGAATTTTTGCAGTGCAGCATAAAAACTTAATTAAGGTTAACCCTGAGGTTAATCTGCAGAGTTGCTCTGAAGTGGTAAAAAACAGAGGTTTCTCACTGTGCTACAGACTCACCTTTAGGTTTAATGGCCTTCATCTTCTTGTAGAAAATCAGCAAAGCGGCTGATAAGAGTGTGATCATAATGACCAGAATCAGAATCACATAAAGCGGCTTATCTGCACCTCAAGAGAACACATTTCTTTTTACTGTCACACTCGTAATATTTGGCGATGAATTATGCAAACAAAACACAGATACTCTGAGTTACATTTCATTTGTATGAAATTACTTTTGGTCCTCCTAATTTATTTTCAGATGAAGTTTCAGTTTCGACTGTTGCACTTGAATCCTCCATCACATGCAGTGCCAACTACTCAAATGAGGTTGTCCTGTGTGTGACTATCAAGTCTAACTTTTTACGTTAAGCTTGCATGCACATCATGATAAATGTAACGTAATGTCAGGTCGACGTAGCCCACAGCTAATGTGATTGGCCAGTTCTGTGCAGTCTTTTCCCCACTGCATTTTTGTCTACTTTTTTGATTGCATAATAGTCATAGGATCACATATAGAACACTGAGATATGACTCTATAACATCTGTCATCTAGATCTCATGTCATGGTGCTTTAAGGAAGTCAAACGTGGTCTCACTCAGCTGTTCATGTGCAGTTCCTGAGTTCTTCATTTAACTCTTGCACTGTTTATGCACTGCATTTGTTTGAAAACTTTACTCATTTTGTACATTGTGCTTAAAATTTCAAAATCAAATAGCTGACAATGCATCATTAGTTAATGAATTAAAGTTTACACGTTAAGTTTACACTTTAGTAATATGACCGAGCGATGTTTCTACTGCTCTTGAATGTGGTTGAGGTTTTTGATAAATACACAGACGAACCCATACCTGGACCTGCAGGTGTCTCAGAAGGGTTCAGCATTTCAGTGGAGGAGGATGTAGATGTAGCGCTTTCTAAACTGAAGTTAAAACTTTGTGTTGTTGTTGCTGCTGTTGTTGCTGTTGTTGAGGTTGATAGGAGAAAGGTTGATGATGAAAAAGCTTTTGGAGTAGAGCCTGGTGTTGAAGTTTTTACAGCTGTGAACAAAGAAACAATCAGTACAAAAACAATCCTGCAGTTTGTATGTCTGCATGCGAGTAATGTAGGTTAACAGGTGTTTTATGGCAACGCTAAGCTTATATTCAAAAAATGACTGAATGGAGATCAATTGAAAGAAATGTTGTTGCCAATGAGATGTGAATATGTTCACATCTTCAGAAATATGAATACAATTTTTGTAGAGACTTACCTTCAGTGACAATTATCTCAAAATAATCTGGGTTCAAAGTGCTGTCCAAAGTACACTTGTACTGTCCTGAGTCAGACTGTTTCAGCTGTGTGATGCTCACATACATAATATCATAACTCAAAAAATTTTTGAAATATTGAATGCTGTATCTGTCGCTCTGAAATGTGTCAGCAGTTGTATTAATCAGAATGTTTCCCTTTTCACATTCTTCCTTACAGAAGAGCCTCCTGCTTCCACTGATGAGGAACCTGCATTCAAGTGTGACGTCTTCTCCTTCCATTTTTCTGTGTCTGGGTGTTTCTGCATTGACAAGACCATCCTGCTGTGCTGCTGAAAAGATTAGCATTCAATAGTTACCATCATCCTATAAAGACAGATCATTATGTGCTTTAATTGTACAGTTAAATTCTTCACATTGTTATTTAAATATTTAAAAAATTTAAAAAACAAACTTCCTGATTCTGACATCAACACAAACATCTGCTGACTGAGAGTTACTTGAGTGTCATTTGCTTCTAATGATGTATTCATCTCCATATGTTTTACAGTGTATTGAATAATAATTGTTTCTATTGTGGAAAATGTTTTGGAATTGTTGCTCAACATTAAAATTTTCATTTTTTGAACATGCATGCTGTGGTTTTTCTTGTGAGCCTAAAAAAACCTGATGCCTCATTAGTTCAAAAAAGAGGAACCAGGTGCATGTGGGGTTTCGAAAATGCTCATAGAATTTAGTTGTGTCTAAATATACATTTCCTGCTAGATTGCTTGGATACATTTGTATTTGGCAAAACAGTGAGACTGTCTATACATGAAAAGACACCTGCAAGTTTTAGTATGGGCAACGTTCACAAAAGATACAACAAAAATGAGAATAGCCATTTTTGCATATGAGATTAGGATGAACCTAACAAGAACTAAGGAGCAAAATGCAGCTTAAAGAATATTATTTATGTGATTTTTTTTTTTATTCTAAGGAGTTTGGAAAGAAAAGCGTCTGGACTTCTTTAAGTTGCTTGAAGACGTTTCACCTCTCATCCGAGAAGCTTCTTCAGTTCTAAGGTCAAATGGTGGGGAGTCCCAGATTTAAACCCAGTTGGAGTTTCCCCCCAAAGAGGGACAAAGGACCCCCTGATGATCCTCTACCTAATCACATGAGCCAAGGTGTGAAAATGAGTGTGGGTCACAATCAGCCAGGGTTTCAGGTGAGCTCATTGTGAAACCTGGCCCCACCCTATCATGTGATTTCCTGAGGTCAGATGGCCCAGGATGTGAGTGGGCGTTAAGGCATCTGGGAAGTGATATCAAAACCAGATTAACTCCCACTGGGTTCAAATCTGGGACTCTCCACCATTTGACCTTAGAACTGAAGAAGCTTCTCGGATGAGAGGTGAAACGTCTTCAAGCAACTTAAAGAAGTCCAGACGCTTTTTCTTTCCAAGCTCCTTAGACTACGATGACCTGGATGACTGAGAACCTTCACAGACATTTTTTTTATTGTTTTAAAACTTCTATTTTCAGTGACCTGCATGTTCAAGTTACATGTTTCCAGCTATAAACACCACAAAACAAACATGTAAGAGAAGAAAATTAAGAAAGACTGAAACAGTTTGTGGTTCAACAGAAATCAATGATTCAACATGAAAAACCAATAAACAAACAAACCTGGTGATTGATTTTTAATAAACAGACACCATTTTCTGTTTTTAATAAATAGAAAATAAAGATGCAAACAACAAAGAAAGAAAGAGAACACGGAAATTAAAATTTAGAATTCACTCACTAAGGATGATGAAGCAGGCCAGAGTGTGACAGACTTTCATCTTGAGGCTCTGATGGTTTAATGCTGTTTCTCTTCCTTCTTAACTCACAAAACAGGAACTTCACTCAATAATGAGGACACACACACACACACACTCCCCTTCTTCTAAATGTGTCATAGGCTAATTTTCATTTCATTTTCTGCCTAAAAAGCATCTCATCTGTGTTGCTGTGTTTATGAAATTATGTTTATGCCAAAGTTTAAAGCAGACACTCTTGTGTACGCACTGGCTTCTCGCTGCATGTGGCTAATGAGTTTGTCGGAGACAGGCTGTTGAATTGGCGTACAAGATATATAATTGTTTTTTTCTCATACAAAACGTTTGCCATAAAGCAGTAAAACAGATGTGATTGCAAGGTTTCTGTCAAACTGACACACAGTGGTTGGACCACTTGCACGGCATGATGTATATAAGATTCACAAATGCATGAAAAATTCAATCCTTTCTTTTTTCTGAGTAATAAGTATGTTTCTCACAGAGAAAATAATGAAACCTGCAATCGAAGTTCTTCAGATTTTGTCAGCTGGAAATTTCTGTTTCACTGTATCTTTAAAGTGTTCTGGTGATTGAAGCTTAACAAAGTGTTAATGACACCAGTTTGAGATGACTTTTGCTTTGTTGAATGGTGCTTTATTCTCCTGGAAGTCACATTACAAGTTGGTAAACTGACGCACATCATCAGGAAAAAGTACTCAGAAAGGATGTGGCAACAAAACCTCGACTGCCTTGTTATCAAGGTACTTAAACAGTGACCACAGAAGACTCCTACCATGAGAACATCAGCAGCAGAAGCATGGTGGCTTCAAACTGTGAGGCAGTGATTACAAAACAAGTAAAAGGGCATTCACACAGGAAGTGACTCACATTGTGCATCACTTTGCCGCTAACATTAAGCCCCTAGTGGAAATTACAGCTTCTGGTTGCCTAATCTATACTGTCATAGGTCAATCATCAATATTTTCATTGCTACTCTCATTGGTGCTTGCTTTAGTTGCTTGCCATGAGAAGTTTAACTCACGACCCACTCATTTTGCATCACCAGGAGGTATTTTGCTTGAAGTTACTGAATGTTATTGACGTTCTTTAAAAAGTCAAACGCTTTTTTCTCTAAAAATGATACCTTTACTATCATATTTGCTGTTGCAAAAATAATTGATTTTAACCTTAAACAACATATTTTGTTTTTTTCACTAAATATATAAACTTTGATTTACTGCTGCTGTGTAAATTGCTCAGTGAATCTCATTGTCTGAGGCTCAGTTATCAAGAATTGCCAAAGCTACAGGTGAACATGAAAAACTCACTACATCGAGCATATTAAAAGGTCCAAAGGGGAACACTGACTTTAAAAACTTAGCCAACATCTTTTAAACTGATAATGAGAAAAATCCTCAAATATACCAGTAGGTTAAGTGTTTGTTTAGCTTTGTCTGACCAGAGGGGTACACTATGAACACAGACAGGCTTTCTTTGAATTACCTGGCTCGATGAAAACTAAAACCTCATTTGGAGATAACGGGTATCACATTATCAACTTCCTCTGTAAAAGCCAAGATTTCTGCTTCAGATTTTTTTTTTTTGAAAATATTTTTATTGAAAAAAAGAAAACAACAGTACTTGCAGTTACCGAAATACAATCAACCTTTCTTCATTTTCCTAAGTAAACAAACATACATATATATCTATGAAAAAAAAAAACACAACGCCCCCCCCCATCCCCAGTCCCACACAGATCAACACAACCATCAAACATAGAGGAATATAACAGTAACAAAAGTAGATTTAAACAGGCAATACCTCTAGACTAGCAAAATAAGAGATAAAGGGTTGCCACTTGTGAAAAAATTTGGCTGTGCAACCTTTCAACGTATATTTAATTTTTTCAAGTTTTAAAAAAAACATGACATCTTTAAGCCACCGGGAAACAGTAGGATACTTAACAGACTTCCAATGCAACAATATTAGACGTCTCGCTAATAGGGATGTGAAGGCTATAATATCCTTTTGTGTGGAATCAAGTGTAAGTGAGCGAACAGGAATCCCAAATACAGCAATCAGAGGACAAGGATGAAGAGTTACCCCAAGAACAGTTGACATAATAGCAAAATACCCTGTCGAGAAACCTTGTAGCTCAGGACACAGAAAAAACATGTGGCTAAGGTGACAAGGAGAACCGTGGCATTTATCACATTTATTTTCCACTTCTGGATACAATTCAGAAAGTCTAGACTTAGAGAAATGCACCCTGTATATGACCTTAAATTGAATAAGTCCAAGACGAGCACACAGGAGGTGGAAGATCGTACCCTCGCTATAGCCTGTTCCCAAGACTCCTCATGTATTCGAATTCCCAGTTCTCCTTCCCATGTACACTTAAGCTTAACATTAGTGGTTCAGACTTTTTGTGCACGCACATAAAAATAAGCATTTTCTGTGTCATATGAGATGATCTGAATGCTTTTCTGAAACTGTCTACTTTGAGTGCGTGAGACTGCAGTAGGTTTGGTCTTGGTCGCTGCTGGTGGGATCGAGGCTCTGGTAGATTGAATCGTCACATCTGGAGACTGGACAAAAATTTTCATAGAGGGCAATCTGGGGAAAAAAGAAAGCAAAAAATATTTAATTAATATTCAAAAGAAAAGAAAAGAAAAGAAAAATAGAAAATAACACAGGTGGCTGTAGTTCAGGAGACAGAGCAGGTCTAACAATTGGTGGTTCAATCCCTGGCTGCTCCAGTCTGCATGACACATATCCCTTGCCAAAGCTGATGGTTTGAGTGCTCCGGTAGAGTAGAAAAGCACTAAAAACTATAAAAAAATTATAACAGCTGTAAGGCCCCTTTTAAGAGATACTAAGGAATCGTGTGTCTGCGGTTGCACAAAAAAGATTAACGTTAATGGGCCAATGCTACCACCTACTGTCTCAAATGTCACCCTACATTGGCTAGGAATTGCAAAGGACTGTGGGTAATCTTCAGAGTAACAGGGGATTCACGCAGAGGTATGTGCTTGTGTGTCATGGACATAAATATGAATGCAATTAGAAGTTCATCTGGCTGTGTTAAATAATAGCTTTTGTGGATTTTTAATGCTTTTGTTCATTCCAGTCTCTCCACCACCATGGGTGAGACCAAAGAGCTGTCAAAGGATGTCAGGAATAACACGGCAGACCTGAACACAGCTGGAATGGCTACAAGACCATCAGCAAGAAGCTTGGTGAGAAGTTCACCACTGTTGGTGCAAATTGGTGCACCTTTGGAAATGGAAGCAATATAAAATGACCATCAATCATTCTCAGTGCAACCATCCTCGTGGGGTAAGGATAATAACTAGAAAGATAATGTATCAGCCCAAAACCTCAAAGGAGTTTGTTAATAAACTGAAGGCTATTGGGATCAACTGGGAGTGGGGCAAAATTCATCCTGATAAGTGTTTATAATTTATGTGATTTTATGTAATTTGTAGGGGTTTTTTTTCTAGATTTTTGGTTGATCTTCAATAAACTGAAACTGCCATAAAATGACTTTAGAGACTGTTCATTTCTTTGGAAGTGAACAAACCTACAAATTTAACAGGGGATCAAATAATTTGCAGATAATTCTGATGTGATGCCATCTTTTCCCACAGAGATCACTCCATGCATTTAGAGACATAACCATCCATTCTTGACATAATGTAATTACAGGGGATTGTGAGTAATGGATGATTCATGTAGTGAGCTTACCCTCTGTCCTCGAGAGATAAAATTCTGTTTTGTTATCCTTTGTCATGTAGATGCTGAGGGGTGTTCCTCCAAACTTGACCTGCCTCTTATCATTCATTCATATGCCTCTGACAGATTGTTAATGTTCAAACTACACAAAGACATCTGATACGTTCTTGGTATAAATCACCAATTAGGAAAGTGAATTTGAATGTTAATTGTGGAAAACCATTTGTTCCATTAGGTGAGAGAACATCTGTATTTACTAAATAAAAAGCAAAAGCCTGACTTTTTCTGAGCTACAAATTCACACTGTGCTTTGTTTTGTTACAGAGTAATAGTAAAGCAAATACAGACGAGTCACCTCAGTCTGGTTGTGGTCTGAGTTTCTCCTTCTGTCCAAATCTAGAAAAAAGATATTGATATTTTACATCATTAGATTAAATTAAGTGTGAGTGAAGTTGGTGTCTATCCTGTTGGATAAAAGGTCTGAAGATAAATAATTTGAATAACTGTTAAAGGTACAGATAGTGGTAGAAGTTTACTGACCAACAGAGGTCTTGGTCCTCCTTTTGTAGATCAACATCAGAACAGAGAACAGCATTAGTACTACCATGACCACAATTATAACAACCAAAAGCAGGGAGAAATCTGGGTGAGAGCCTGGATGAGAGAGAGGAAAAAAAGAAAGAAAGAAATAATCTAAACTGTTAACCAGTCTTTGTTTATATGACATGCATAATAATAATAGCATTAATACTTTAAATGTGAAATGTCTTCTTCCCAATGAACAATTACATACATTTCAGTAGTCGTGGTAAAAACTATTACTCAAATCCATAAATTGCCTACTGCCAAATCCACGAAGTGACAGCTAAGTCGATCCCCAGCTACATATTCAGGCTGCATCATTCATCTTCTGTTATATTGGTATGCCGGCTTATAATAAGATAGTAATTCATTGAAATTTCAGTTAAGCAACAAAAAAGGACTTTAATGTGGTATATTTCTTATTTTCATTGTAATATCAGGAAACTGACCCTCTTAAGTTTAAATACTCTTTGTGTATTTATAGTAAACACTATTTGCATATTGCTATAAGGTGTTAGGAGTTTATGCAATGGTCCTGTTAGCAGTATTCTCAGTTTATATTGATTTTCTGGGTGTGCTTTAAGTTGCATAGTCTTGAATTTTCAATACATACTGTATTATGAGAAAAGAAAGCAAGGTCTCATCTACATCAGTATGAATACTTGGCCAATAGGCTACACTCATAACAGGCAGGGCTCCAACGATTCGTTGACATAATCAATGACGTTGACTATAAAAATTCATTGATGTTAAATTTTATTGTTGATGCGTCATATTTTAAAACCACCTAAATGTGTTTTTGTAACTGTAATACATTACAGGAAGCTGCGGGGCAGTATCACCTCTCGTTTGCCAACACTGTACTCAATACTAATGAGGAAGAACGTAGCACGACCAGGAGGACAGAAGAAATTGGAAAAAGACATTTAAAAAAAAAAAATGTTAAAGTGTTTCATAGAAAACAAAGTTAAATGCAGACTGTACAAAGTGGAGCTTTCCTTCCACGACGGCACTACTACAGTGCACGGCAGCACCTGTGACATCTACTCTGAATAGATCAGTTTTAGAGTGCATTGCATTGATACCTTGTTTATGTTAATGTCTGTGCAGTAATGGTTATCTTAATGTTTCTACAGTAAATTGTATGTTAATATTTGAGATGAGATGAGATAGCCTTTATTTGTCAGTTGCAGGTCTTTTGCCCACAACAGTAATGTTTATGTTAATGTTTGTACAGTAATGTTTATCTTAGCTTACCTGTTGGAAACATCTAATAGATGATGCTTGCTGAGCAAACACAATTTCAGTTTTGTTAGCTAATGAGAGAAACGTGATAGTAAACCATTAAACAGGAGTAGCCACACTACCAGTCAACAGTTTGGACACACCTTATTTAGTGTTTTTTCACGTAACCATTTACATTGTAGATTCTGGAGGACGTCAAGTCGTGGTTGGCGCTAAACTTTCTTTGTTTTAATGATTCTAAAACTGAAGTAATGGTGTTCAGACCTGCCTCCACTGCTGTTCCGTGTGTTGATTTGCAATCCCTTAAATCATTCTGTAAATCAGAGATTGTTAATCTGGGTTTTAAAATGGATCCTGATTTTAAGCTTGAAAGCCAGATCGGGTTGGTTGTAAGGTCTAGTTTCTTTCATCTGAGGCAACTGGCCAAAATTAAGCACTTTCTTACGAGACAGCAATTTGAAACAGTAACCCACGCTTTTGTAACCGTTCGGCTGGATTACTGTAATTCTCTTTATTTTGGGGTGAGTCGATCTTCTGTTTTTCGACTGCAGTTAGTCCAGAATGCTGCTGCACGCCTTTTAACTGGCACTCATAGATACGAGCATATCACCCCAGTTTTATATTCACTTCATTGGCTGCCCGTGCATTTTAGGATCCATTTTAAGATGCTTTTATTTGTTTTTAAATGTTTGTCCAATGCTGCCCCTGTGTACCTCTCTGAGCTTCTTCATCCATACATACCTTCCCGGTCCCTCAGGTCGGCAGACCAGCTCCTCCTGAGTATGCCCAGGACTAATCGTAAGCTCAGAGGGGATCGGGCATTTGCTGTGGCAGCACCAAAATTGTGGAATGAGTTGCCTTTACATGTTAGACAGGCACCTTCCTTATCTGTTTTTAAATCACGTCTTAAAACATATTTATTTACCTTGGCTTTTAGCACAGCAGCACTTGTTGATGTCTCTTAATACGTTTCTTATTAATTATATTACTTTTAATTTTAAGATATTTTATATGTAATTTAAACTGTTTCCTCTCTGTTTTATATTTGTAGCACTTTGGTCAACATAGTTGGATGTAAAGTGCGTTATAAATAAAGATGCTATGCTATGCTATGCTATTCTCACTGAAGGCATTAAAACTATGAATGAACACATAGGGAATTATGTAGTAAATAAAAAGTGTCAAATAACTCAAGACATGTTTAATATTTTAGATTCTTCAAAATAGCCACCCTGTGCATTGATTACTGCTTTGCACACTTTTGACATTCTCTCCATGAGCTTCATTGAGTCTTGAAGGAGTTCCCAGAGATGCTGAGCACTTGTTGGTCCTTTTGCCTTCACTCTGCAGTCCATCTCATCCCAAACCATCTTGATTGGGTTTAGGTCAGGTGACTGGAGACCGGGCCATCTGGCGCAACACTCCATCAATCTCCTCCTTTAAATAGTCCTTACACAGTCTGGAAGTGTGTTTGGGGTCATTGTCCTGCTGGAACTCTGTGTGGCATTTATCTGGGCTCTAAACTGAGATGCTGTTAACTTGTGATTTCTGAGGCTGGTGACTCTTGACTCTTTGTCATCCTTTCCTGGGGCGGTCCTCACGTGAGTCAGTTTTGTCATGGTGCTTGATGGTTTTTGAGACTGCACTTGTGGACACATTTAAAGTTTTAGCAATTTTCCAGGCTGACTAACCTTCAGTACTGATGGATTGTCATTTCTCTTTACTTGGCTGATTGGTTCTTGCCATAATATGAATTCTAACAGTTGTCAAATAGGGCTTCAGCTCTGTACCAACTTGACTTCTGCGCAACACAACTGATGGGTTCAAACACATTAAGAAGGCAAGAAATTCCACAGATAACCCTGACAAGGAACACCTGTGAAGTGAAACCCATTTCAGGTGACTACATCATGAAGCTCATTGAGAGAAGACCAAGGGAGAAACTATAATATACAACCAAATTTGTGATTAGTAATGGTCCTTTTCAAATTGTGTTTTGTTCCGTCTTACTAGGATTAAGCACATGCATGTGAATGAATTTGTCCTGAAAAGAGACTCATGCACCTCTCAAATGGCTGAAGTCATTATAGAGAGCGTCTTTAGAGTGATTATTAGCTGCTGGGGACGTCATCTCAAAAGAGTCAAAAGATTAAAAATATAGACTTTATTTCTAATAATTCATGATGAAAAGACAAAATATTTTATGCTAAAATCATGTGGTTATAATACCGTAAAATGCAAAAATATAATATTTCTATAATTGTTAGTGATTGCAAACCTCTCGACTAAACATACCATAGACAGACCGTAAAACAGAGACCTCCAGCTGCATAAATTTACCTTCACAGATGACGCCAGCATCCTCATGGTGGCTGCAGTTGTGGGATCCAAACCCTGAGTGATGGCACTCAGAGAGCTGTGTTTCGCTGCCTGAGCATGTGACATTGTCTAACCAGATGTGTCTTTTGCCCTGTTCAAATTCTGCATTTGTTGGTATGGAGAGGAGCCTGCCACAGCCCAATTGTCTACACACCACCTGCGCTTCCCCTAGGCTCCAGGCATCATCACACACTGCCCCCCACTGTCCACCATGGAAGATCTCCACTCTGCCAGAGCAGGAGTCATTACCTCCATTAACCAGGCGGACCTCCCCCTCAACTGCTGTGCTGTTATCCACTGCTGTTGTAACATTGATATGGACCTGATAGGGTGACGAGACCTTTGGTGTTGGAGCAGGTGTGGTGAAAGGAACTCCAGGATCTGTTATGTTCACCTCTGTTTACAATAAATAAAAAGATATTACTGCGTTAGTGTTGAAATCATTTTTGTTATAAACAGCAGAATTTAAGGACAAGGTAGAAAAAATTATTTTTTACAGTGCAATCTTATTTAAAGCAGAACAATACCTGCACAGTATGCAAGCTGGCATGTGACTGGCTTCACAAGTTTGTAAACATAGTAGTTTCCATAGCAGTGTTTGACATGGATGATGTGTGACTCAAATTTGCAGCAGTTGCCTTCCCAAGAACTGCACACAGTGCGAGTTAGAATTTCACCCGACTGTGTGGGATGAGGTTGTGTTATCCACAGTGGAGCATGAGTTCCACACCTGTTGGGGTCTAGACACCTCTCTGGAATATGAGCACCGGATTCCCCCAGAAACAGGCGATACCAACCTTGCCAGTCAATGTTTTTATCACAGTGTAGGACCTGAATATCTGTGTTATTCGTTGAACGCCAGTCATCATTCAGTACAGTGTAGTTATGACAGGGATCAACACACTGGGAATTACTGCAGTCCATCCCTGAAAGACAAAAAAGACAAAGGCTTTTTACTGCAAGCCAAATTCACCCATATTCATACAGCACTTTATTCTGTGCTTCAAGCACTTTTCTAGCATACGCACTGGGGGCTGCACGGCATAAACATGTTAACGAGCTAATCGCGCCAACGCATTGATGGCGTGCAGCCCTCTCACAGGGCGATTCCTGTTAACTCCCTAACGAAGATTTGCTGCCTTAATGCAGTTATAGCGTTAACGTCATTTTAACGAGATTAACGCTGACAGCACTAATTTATATTAAATATCCTCCTATGCTTCTTAGTTTGTTTTTTTCATTAGTTATCTTTAGATTTAATTCCTTTTAAGTTTTATTATTTGTCGTATCTTCTATGTAAAATATCTTCTGGGTTCTGTTCTTGTATTTGTTTGACACTAGTCTCCTTAGTGTTTTCTTTTTATTGGATCCCTGTCTCTGTGTTATGGTTTTTTTTCAATGTATTTGTTTAGTTTGGTAGTCTTCTATCTCTTGTGCTCTATATTTACTTTTTCTTCCTTAGTCCCCTGTTCCCTGATAATTCCACTTGTGTTCCCACCTGCTTATTCTTTTCCCTCATTAGGCATTAATATACACTATATTCCCAAAAGTATTCACTCACCCATCCAAATCATTGAATTCAGGTGTTCCATTGTCACAGACATATAAAATTAAGCACCCAGGCAAACAGACTGCTGCTATAAACATTTGTGAAAGTAAGGGTCACTCTCAGGAGCTCAGTGAATTCCAGCATGGTATCGTGAAAGGATGCCACCTGTGCCACAAATCCAGTCATGCAATTTCTTTACTACTAAATTTTCCACAGTCAACTGTTAGTGTTAGTATAACAAACGGGAAGCTATCAGGAGCGACAGCAACTCAGCCACAAAGTGAAAGGCCAGGTAAAATCACAGAGTGGGATCAGCAGATGCTGAGGTGCATAGTGCCCGGAGCTTGCCAACTTTCTGTTCAGTCATTGGCTACAGACCGCCAAACTTCATGTGGCCTTCAGATTAGCTCAAGAACAGTGTGTACATAGCTTCATGGAATGGGTTTTCCATGATCACCGAGCACAATGCACAGCGTCAGAGGACTCTAGAGCATTAACGTGATCTCCGGAGTGACAAATCACACTTTGTCATTTGGTAATCCAATGAGTCTTAAGAGACACACACGAGCATTCTCCTTCAAGGGATTACAAATCTGCATTCGCTTGTGATGTTTTCACTTACCTGTATGGATGGAACTTTCTGCATTGGCGAGGCCAATGGTTCCATGCAGGCCTGTGAAAATGATAAATATTATACACTCACTATATTCCTGTAAAATACAGCAATATGTTTTATGTTCGTTAAATTCAAATGAGATGAACTTCCTGATTCTTCCTGACATGTACACAAACCATCTGCTGAGAAAGATTTAATTAAGATCCGGCAAGAGAGAAAATGGATTTCATTTATTGGTCTGGGATGACATCTTAATTTCCTTTTAGTGCGTTTCTTTGTGAAATGACATTTTTAAACTGTTGGCTAGCCCTTCAAGTTCTAAGTTTAACACTTGAGCAATGTTATTCCCCTTGGTGTTGATAAATATGCATGCAAAAAAAGATTGTTGCTTTGTAAACATTTTCTAAACGGAAGAAAAAGGAGGAGGAAGCAACTTACTGGGTAGTTTTGAAAATTATGGTATCATTTAACTGCTTATAAATATCTGAGCCGAGGTCTCTTTTAAGACTCTTTTCTCTGGTTTGTTATGAAAAAACAGTGCAGTTTAAGTGGTTGTACAAGTTAAACTGCACTTTTTGAAATAGTATGGAAGAAAAACATCTTCATATATTATAAAGATTATTTCTAGGGAGCAAAGTGGGAGGAAACTAACAAAAATAAGCTGCAAACTGTGGTTGTGTTAAAAGATGCTTGTGTAAATTCCACACAGGTTTATATTAAGGAGTTAACGTGTTTTCAGTAAACTGCAGTGTAAGTGTATTTTTGAATCTGAACAACATGCTTAACCACAGGAGATAGATGGAAACTGTTCAACAATGAGCAAAATTTACCAATGAACTCCAAATAAAAAAAGAAAACAACTAACACAGAGAAAATCTGAGAAATAGGAAGATTTACTCACTGAGGAAGATGAAGCAGCTCAAAGTGTGACCGACTTTCATATTTAATGCTCCCTCTTTTCCGTCTTCACTTGCAAACCAGAAACTTCTATATTCTCTCAGCAATGTAGTTCTGCCTTCAAATGCGTCACTCTCTGTTCTGCACCCGCCCAATGCAAGAGCTGACCACAGGCTTGGAGGTCCTAGTAGTCAGGGACTGTTTAGGGTTTGGAACAGATTTTGTGTAATTATAGCAATATGTAATTTATGACCTTGCAAGAATTGCACAAAATCCCAGTCTCATTACATACTCCAATGCAGGAGACAGAACCAACAGTATGGGTCCATTTTCAGAAGTGTCAAGGAGTTAAATTCCATAAAGAAATACACATTAAATCATCACAAACTGTCACAGAGTTGAAAGACGATTTGCTTGATATTTTTTAAGTCACAAATAGATGAAAAGTTAATCATTATTTCTTTTTCTTTAGCATCAAACAGGGTACAGACTGTGAGAGGAAATCATCAATACAGTGAATTCCTCCGGTACACACTGTAATCTGGTACACACATTGAAAAAGTGAAGCGTTAATAGACACAGACAAGAGGCAGAATAAAATATAACGGAGAGAAAGAAAAATCTGCAACAGATAATCAGTAATGATGGGATTTCAGCAGCCAAACCCAACTTGCATAAAATGATTTGTTTGAAGGAAATAGACCGCATATTACTAAGGCTGGCCCCCAAATGGCCACCTCTTAACCACTCACCTCTTAGCCAAGTGGATTCACCTGCTGTGTGGATTGGTGAATGCAGCCAGCTGTGCAAAGCAGCAGAAAATTTATTGGTTTTGCAAAAATTAATAGCATGCCTAAAAGAAAAAAGCAGAAGCTTTAACATGTATTTACTGTATGATGACATACAGTAAATACACCCAGTAACAGTAAGTGAGCCTGGACGGAAACAGAAGTTGTGTGTTTAAAGTGTTTAAGATATGCTAATTATGTATAAAAAGGAAGTGAACCATGCATTTGTGGTGTGAGAAGTTTCGAGGGAAATCTTGTTTCCCTTTTCTCTGACAAAATAAATTATAGAAACACTGGGAAATGTCTTTTAGCCAGTTTGCTGGTGTTTAAACAGCTATTCATTATCTTTGTATTGTACAATGTTTAGTTTTTACTCTACTAAATTAACTTTTACTGTTCAGTTTTTATTCAGATTGTGTTGAGTTGACAAATGCACAATAGACTAAACTTAAACAGTAACAACAAAGAGATAAAAACACTAAATGCTCTATCATCAGTAGTACAGAGGAACCAAAGGTGAAGATAACTGAAAACTGCACCCCCCCCCCCCCACAAGTTACAGACACAAAAAAAGGAAAAAAACATGCTGACTTATAAAAAGGAAAAAGGTCAATTTTGTCCATGTACATGAACAAAAGGGATACTTTTCCTGCTTATTTCATGTTACAGGACAGGCAAAAGAAAAAAAGAAAAATGAAAGAAAAGAAATTCTTTGATGATTGTTATTCCTGGGTTTGTTTATCTTGTCTTTAGCTTTTCCTGATCCCACGTTTCACATCTAGTCACCCATGTCTCTGTGTTCCCTCTGTTACCGAGTCTGTTATGTTGTTGTGTGAAGCTCTGAGTGTCTGTGCGTATGTGTCGTATTTCCTGTTTTACTTTGACAGTGTTGTGTGCTATGTCAGTGTGTCTACTTTTGCTTCCCTTTGTCTCTCCAAAAGTTGAATCTGTTCATCTGGACGTAGCGTTTTGTGGGAGAAATGTTTCGTCACTCATCCAAGTGACTTCTTCAGTCTCAGCTGACTGCAGGTTTCCAATCTTATAAACAGTACATTTGCATAATGACTGAAACCAGCCCACTGAGGGAACAATGGGCTGGGAGGTCAGTTCCTTAATCATAATTATGCAAATTCTCATGACCACTGACACTATGTTACTCTGTTTGTGTCGGGGGCAGTGTTGGGTAAGTTACTTTAAAAAAGTAATTAATTACTCATTACTAATTACTTAGTCAATATTGTATTTAAAATATTTATCTAATTACTGTGTCAGAAAAGTAACTTAATTACTAAATAAGTAATTTAACTAAATACTTCTTAAAATCCCTATAAACCTCGAGTGGGCAAACAATAGAAATTGCATGCATGCATGCATGCAATTTCGCTTTCGCTTCCTCTTATCCTTTCCAGGGTCGCGGGGGGCGCTGGAGCCTATCCCAGCTGTCATGGGGCGAGAGGCGGGGTACACCCTGGACAGGTCGCCAGTCTGTCGCAGGGCTAACACATAAGGACAGACAACCATTCACACTCACTCGCACATTCACACCTAGTGGCAATTTGGATTTTCCAATTAACCTATCCCCACAAGCTGCATGTCTTTGGACGGTGGGAGGATAGAATAGAATACAATAGAAATTAAACTCTTTAAATAATAAATAAAATTTTTTTAAAGACGTAGACTCTACAGTACGCAGCAGTAGCATCTCTTCCACAATATAGCCTGCAATCATTTTTTAAGCTCACCTTCAGACGCTTTCTGTGCTGCTGAAGTAAAATCAGGTTTTGCCTGCTTAGCAGGAGTAGCCGCAGCGTTATCCATGGATGATGAACAAGAATCACTCAGAAGTGTTCGTCTATGCTCTCGTGTCAGGCGCTTCAGTAGATTACTTGTGCTATTAACAGCAGCCGATAGTTTTTTCTCCCCAGGACATTGAAAGAAACTCCGTCCCGGGTTTGGTCCGTGGATCGGGTTTCTCCGAGGCGTGGTTTTGTCTTTACTCTATAAGATTCAAAATTATTCTTAAGTAACACTCAGCAATATTCTCAAGTAGCACTCAGATATGCCGTCAGCGGGTTAGTTACGACGTTGGCAGCAGTTAGGAGAACAAAATGATACAGAGACTGTTCAGGTTGCTTTCCCAAAATCAACTCAAAGATTTATTCTTTTGTGCAGGGTTTTTGTAGGCAGAAGGGTGCGTGCGTCAACAAGTTTGAAGTTACAACCATATAAGGAAGTTCCCCCTAGCTCTGAAAGGGGCCTTCTATAATCTCAACATACCTTTGACAGGTCCGTTAAACACTAAACAGTTAGAATCCCTTAGTGATATAAGTTTGCACATGGTAGAATACTGCATGTAGTTATTTGCATTAGGAAATGTTTAACCATGTATACCTAGAGGCATATAATCAATTGTGTGTGATCTTTAGCAGGATGCAAGCTTGGTGTGCACTCCAGGAATGCACCTTGTCCTATTGTTCCACGGCAGGATCAACGCAGCTATGCCTGTTCCAGTTTAAGTGCCTTCTTTACATATAGATGAACTGTTGGATTTTCCAGACCAGCAGGCCAAGGGAAGTCGCCCATGGGGTCACACTCTGAACACACCCACACATACACACGCTCAATGGAGCACAAAATAAAGACCAGGGGCAGTGCTCAGCACGAGTCTGAGAGACTGCCCTTGCTAGCAAGTTCTGTGTTTCTCTTCTCTGAGTCTTTACTGAAGAAGTGTTTTATAATATTTTCCCTAACATTGTCTAATATCATCAAAAAAGGTACCCAGTACATGCTCCCATAATACTAAAATATCTAACAGACATAGCTTACATATTACTGTAATATTCTTGTCTGCTTGTTTCAGAAAAGTGAAGAGACGGGTATATGTCCATTTCAAAAAACAGCCACTCGCTTCAGCCGAGTCCGACATCTTCCGCTTTAGAATACGACTATGCAGCAAACTGGCGCAAAATGACGTGCACCTGCACTGCAACGATGTTAAAGCGGCAGAGTTTACTTCTGCGTTTAGAAGATAAATTGTTGAAATTAAATAATGATATTCAGCAAGTTAAATTATTTTACAATGTAACGCAAGTACATTGTAAGTAACTGTAATTAAAATACCTAAAAATGAACAGTAATTAGTTACTCTAATTTTTCAGTGGAAAAGTAATTTAATTACAGTAACGCGTTACTTAGTAACACATTGCACCCAACACTGGTCGGGGGACTCTATCCTTGGGGTGGACCAATTTTTGGCGCAGTGTGTTTTGGGGTTTAAAAGCCACAGAGACCCGGTGTTTAGAAAAAATGTCTCAACTGTTCCGATACTCCTGACACATATGGGATCACTGCAGGTTTTCACTTGGGCAGCGGTTGTCCTTCTCTCCTGGATCGGCTGGAGCTTTCTTTAGGTGTCTTTCCAGCTTTGACAAAAGTCCAGGTGGGATAACCACATTTACTTATGGCCTTCTTGATGTGCTGTTCTTCTGCATCCCTGGCCGCTGTGTCATTGGGGATGGTGTTTGCTCTGTGTTGTAGCTTTGAGCATGCAGCGTACTCAACCTCTGGGCGACCACTATGGTTGCAATGCAAGTCCACAAATCACCTGGGATGAGGCAACCGATCCTGGTGGTGCAGGTTTGCAGTTAATCACAATCTAATTTATAAACACAGACAGATTGCCATCATATCGTAATCACCTGGGATCAGTTTGCATGAAGAGCACAGCCCTATTGCTGCATCAAATAGTGACACAAAACTGTGAGTTACCGTGAGGTTTGTGACAGGTAGTTTACTAAAAATATATAGTTGATATATAGTTACAATGACCATATCTCCGCTGTAGACTCCTCCACTATCTTCCTCTCCCTCAGGAACAGAAATCAGCTGAGGAGGAGTTCACAGGACAACAAAAAGCCTGTTTGATTTGTTTTCTTTCGACTCAACCTTTATGGATACAACTGGGGGAAAAAAACAATAATTTAACAGCAAGTATAAGACAAATAATGCCATGATTGTAACTCTAATGTAATGACTGAATTGGGTTGGTAACATGTTACATTAAATGTTACAAAACAGATGTTTTCAGCAGCACTGAATTATTATTATTAATTACTATTAATAATAATAATTCAGTGTCCAACCTGTATGGCTAATTGGACCATGTACATTGATTTTGGCTTTTTTACATTTTCGAATATTAATGCAATTAATACAATATTTCTTATTTTACTTAGACAGATGTCTGCCCGGGATCCTAAAGTGGGAGCTCACAAAGAGCTAGTGTGTCCTCCTAATTGGCTGGATATGCCTGACATACACGAACAGTGCACAGGGCAGCCTGGCACTGATCCCTGCTTCAAGCCCTCAGTGGGAGTTATTCGTAGCCTTTGGCATGAACGCATGGTTGGGCTGGAGGATCACCCCTTTCCTGTCCGGCAACCACCTGCAGCAACGCCTGTGGACCTACGGAGCATGGAGTTCACTAATCTTTTTGGTAGATATTATACCCAGCAAGAAGGCAATTTCAGGGACAGACATTTCAGGTCAGTGTCCTCAAGCTGTTTGAAAGATGGCACTGAGGACAAGGTCCAGGTACCAAGGGGTAGCCAGGGCACAGGTATGTGAATTGTAAGTTGCTGGGCACCCCTCAGGAACCATCTTTCATGCCCGTTTCCTAGAGGCATAGAGAGGGATGTCATACGTTTATGAGACATTCGGGCTGCCGGGATAGTTGTAATGTGGGTCAGTTGTAACACTTCCAATTTCTCCAATCAGGGCTAAGTTTCAAATGATGTGACTCATCCTGTGCATGCCCAACTCAGTTCTGCTATCACATGTGAAAAATCAGCACATTTTGTCAAACACAGACAATTTAACATGAAAAAAAGTAATTTGTATGCCAAAAAGTAAGTTTTTCTACTTTATTTCAATTTCTAATAGCATTATCTGCTTTGCAGTTAAACTCATCAAACTTAAATTATGTTATTTGTATGTCTATGGGGATATATTCTGTGTAGGTCTTTAGTGCTAATGTTTTAGCCGTTGGCTGTAATGTTAGCTAGTTCATGGCTATAGGAGTCTGGGTCAGTTGTAACAGCAACAGTCTGGGTTAGTTGTAACAATAATGCAGATGTTACAACTTACCACACTATTACTTTAACTTATATTAAACAAGTTTGGGCAACGACATCAGCAGAGAGAGGTTCACTGGTCGCTTTGTATATGCAGTTAATAATAATAATGGATTGGATTTATATAGCGCTTTTCTAGGCACCCAAAGCGCTTTACAATACCACTATTCATTCACTCTCACATTCACACACTGGTGGAGGCAGCTACAGTTGTAGCCACAGCTGCCCTGGGGCAGACTGACAGAAGCGAGGCTGCCATATCGCGCCATCGGCCCCTCTGGCCAACACCAGTAGGCAAGTAGGGTAAAGTGTCTTGCCCAAGGACACAACGACCAGGACAGAGAGCCCAGGGATCGAACCGCGACCTTCCGGTTACAGATGCGATTCCCAACCCCCTGAGCCATGGTCGCCCTTAATGCCATTGGCAACACAATTCCTCCACTGTTTGTGTTCCCACACATACATTATGCAGACCACTGTGTCAGAGATGGACCAGTAGGAAGTACTGGTAGTGGAAATAAGTCAGGATGGGTGCAAGAAACAGATTTCCTCATCTTTCTGAAGCACTTTGCAAACCACACCAAGGTAAGCCATGATAAAAAGTAATGGAATTGCGATGCTGGTGAACAACTACATTTTTTCAGCTTCATTGTTATGTTCAAAATTGGTGCAAGAGTTGTAGGTTATAATGCCCACTGAGCCAATGAGGCCAAACTCAAGGAAGACCAACCAAAATTAATGAAATATTCAGTTGCAGAAAATTTTATAATTTGTCTTTTTTGGGGGGTTGGAATATGTTCAAAAGCTAGATTTCTGCATTCTGTCACACACACACCATAGCTACATAAATGGATGTAAGTGCATTCATGTGTTGAATAAACAAAGATTACATGTTAATGTTTTGTTAGTACCCTTATTTCATTGTGTTACATTTCACCCCAGGATATGTTACAACTAACCCAGACTATGGGGTTAATTGTAACATTTCACTCTTGTGTTTGAGCCATACCATGCAATGGGTAATTGTGCTGCAGAGAAAATAGCTGCACTATTTAATAGCAGAGACATGTAAATACTTTGCATTACATTTTGAATCCACTACCTTAAAAGAGCTCCAATTTACAGACAGAAATGTCAAAAATGTTACAACTATCCCCGGTCTCCCCTACTCACACAGGGCAAAGACAGCCATAACATAGAAACCAGAAGACAACACACAAACACACTCACTGGGTTTCCCATGTCTCAACGGGTAAGACACGAAGCATCGCCACACCACTGCTCTTATTGTTTATCTTATGGTGTGAATGAAATGCTTGATGTTACATGTTATGAACTGGGAAGCCTGAGACTGAAACTTGCGAGAACAAGCTGGGTTCCTCTAGCAGGCCTCTAGCAGGCCAGAGAAGCTTTTGCTTGCTGAGCTAACGCGCTAGCCACAGCCAGGTCCTGCTGGCTGTGTAAACCCGCAAAACCGTGGGCAATACGACAGGGGATACGACCGGATGTAGGACCCTAGGCGTGCAACAGTGCTACTGTGCAACCCTCAAGACCGTGAGACAAGGTGCCAGCAACTAGTCTCACTGTAGCTTATAAGCTTTTAACAATCTAATAATTTTTTTTTATAACAGAGACAGGCTCCCAACCCCAAAGGTAAACAGACACACCCTGCCTCCTAAACCACACAGTGTGCCACACAAAGTACATGCATGCAACCAAGTGGAGATCAAACAATCACCAATATGATCTCTCGCTAGAGAGCTAGTCTCGATATGATAACGAACACATTTTCTTTCACTCTACACTGAGCTCACCATCTTGGTAACAGCTCAGCCTCTTTGCTCTTCCTGATGTGTAAACAGAATCCAGCTTCACAATAAAATGTGCCAGCGTCATCATTTCTGCTGCCAATGGTTTTTATGTTTAAAACTGAGGCTGCGTCTGCTTAATGTTGTCAGACTGTTTATTCATACGCTGCTCCTAAATACATTGGTATTGCAGGTCTGTGTTTCATAGCAAATGTGGGTGAAACACTTGCATTTACATAGTTTAACACATCGGTGCACCACAGAGCCGCACATCACACAATGCATTGAAGAAAATACATTTTGTCAAGAATTTTTTTAAATGAAGTTATTTAATTGATGCGTCGTTGCAGCCATAGTTGAAAGTTATGTCCAATTTTTTGGGTGGTCTTTGGCATTCTTCAGTACATTCTGTGCAGTTTACCCAGAGCAAATCATATAAGATGCATGTTAGAGAACGTAACACCACAAATGTGTGAAGAAAAAGTATAAGATTAAGTATCAATTTATTTCTAATGTTCTGTTTTCAGCACTCCATTCAGCATCTGCTGAAACTGTCACTAGATCAACTAATCCCGCCTATTATTTATTTATTGCCTGTAAGGACTGCAGTTCCATCATAAACATAAAGCTTAAATTGTGCCCCAATCTGCATATTTACATTTTGCGAACTGAAATCGGCTGTTTTGCTTTGTAATAACAGCTTACATAAAATGTGCAGGAGATGACATTGCTGCTTGTATGCAAATTCAATTCAATTCATCTCAATTTTAAGTAATAGCCCAAGAAAAAAAAATGGTGAACAAAATACAGAAATTCTCAAAGATTATGTAAAAAACGGGCTTTAGTATAAACTTCACTGGAAATGTTATTTATAATTTTACTGTTTTTCTTATTATTTGATAATCATTAGTCATTGAATCATCAGTCAATCATCATTGTGTGAACTACTTTATTACCTTTGATCATTGATTATTGTTCGTGTATTTTTTTTCCTTTGCACTAAAACAGAACTTTTCTTCATGTGCAAAGTTGTGTGAAGTTAGTACCAACTACTTTTAAGTAGTTATCAACTACAGGCTAACTTTCTATAAACTCCTCAGCTAAATACAAAGGTGGACTATCCAATGGACTATGATCAGGTTGCTACAAATCAGTTATGCCTGTTGATCCACTATGAAATCCATTATTTCAGCAGTTGCTTGTTTCCCTGACTAATAAAAATCACAATGGCATGATTAATGGAAGAAAGTTTGTGTTACCAGTTGGTCTGAACAAACTACAACTATCATAGCAATAAGCCTGTAATAACATTACTACTGATGGTTTCCAACAGTAGAATACAGAGGAGGTGAGGCGTCTTTGGTGTGGTTGGCTGTGCTGAAATGTACATGAGGCGTGGAGTACAAAACATCTGCATGGCCACAGGGGGCGCTGTTGGTGGCAGCAAGCTTACTCAAGTTCTCTTCACTCTGGAAGATACAAATCAGTCTTTAGAAACTATTTTCTAAACAAATTAAATTGTACAGATACACAAAGATTCAAATTTATATAGTACAAATTCACATTTCTTTTTTTCACAGTTTACATCATTTAAAAAAAGGGGGTTACACCCAGCTGTGCCTTTTTATAAAAAAAAAAAGGGAAAAAAAGAAAAAGGAAAAGAAGAAAAGAAAAAGAAAATAGGCAGAAATCACAGAAATAGATACTATAATGATGCAAAAACAAATTGCAGCAACACAAAGTGCTTCTTATGAAATCATCCTGAATCCTTGACTGTAAGAGGACCATGATCTTTATATTGATGGATGATTCCACAGTTCCCACTACCTGATAAAATCCAAAAATACTCTGGCATGAAACCTGAAAAATCAAGTACTTACTTTGTTCTGAGGACAGATGACAAGGCTGTAGTCATCTGTGCTTTCAACTCTGTTTCCTTGGGGGCATTTGGCAGTGGTGTAAATTGAAAATACTCCTTCAGGAGGTAAATTGCTCAATCTGTCCTCCTCTCTGATCTCTTCATACAACTGACTGGCCTGGAGGACAAAAAAAAAGTTATTTGAAATCAAATGAAGCTAAAATCAAGTTCAGGTGTCTTGTAATTCCTAAAACTCACCGTTGTAATGTCAGGGGGCTCTGTTTCCACAGGAGGCCCTGAAGAACATGCAAACAGTAAACATCTGTCTTTAATATGCTGCTCCAACGCTGTTTAAAAAAACCTAAGGGAACACTTTAAAAACACATCAGATGTCAATTAATCTCATTTGGCAAATGTCAGTCAGGCTCCACGGTGCCAGGTAATGAACAGAGGGCCCACTAAAGTACATTGGCAACTCAGGCCACCCTCATGAAGTCTTTTTCTGATTATTTAGTCAGAGACCTTCACACTAGTACACCTTTTGGAGGTCATTTTGCACAAAGTAGCAAATACCAGCCCTGCTGATGTTGCTGAGTTGGACTATCTATGCAACCTGTGTAAGGTCCAGGTATCACCTCATTCTACCAGTAGTGACATTAGTCAAAAATACAGAAGACAAAAGATGGGGAAGGTAAAATTGTCAGTGGTCTCCAGTTGTAAAACGATTCCTGTTTGGGGGGGTTGCCTCATTGTTGTCATCAATTCATTAACACCAAAGGAGCTCAAAGATTATTATCCTGATTAAAATTTTTCACTCATTATTCTAATAAGAAACTGCAAAGATTACTGACTTCACAACTGTCAGGAGTTCAATAACTTGCTGTGACTAGTCACGGTTCTGAATCCTAAATGAACATCTGGTCGTGTGGTTAAAAATAGAGAGGCATAGATGGGTGTTAGAGTTGCATTCACTGCCACAGCAAAATCACAAGCCATGAAGCTGCCACATCTGGCTGCACCTCAGATGTTGTGTTTATGACTTTAACTTTAAACACTCATCAAATATCCAGTTTTTCGATCCCCTTTTACTGTAATAATGAAGTGATGATAAAACTTTGTGGTTTCTTTGGTCATTCAAAGCTTTTTTTTTTTTTTTACTTTGACTCAATCTTAGATCTCTAAATGTTTGTTCAACAACATAGTGTATAACAGTATCATCATTAGGAGTCTAAGAATATAAGGTGTTAAACAGAAACTTTATGGTAAATATGGCAGAGCGATGATACTGTTATGCAACTTGCGACCCTTTTTTTAAAGTGAGAAAGTTGCCATAAGTCGCATTCATAAGCCTCAAGCTTCGATTAGGGAGCTGGGGAGGAATCAGGGTTCATGATGCAGAAGCACTTTTAAGAATTACCAGCTACATATATTAATACATTTTTGCAAGGCAGCTTGTTTAAGGTTGGCGATAGACATCAATACCGTGTTTTCTGAAGTGATGAAGACACTGTCTTATGTTCATGTTTACTTTAGGCTCACCTTTAGGTTTACTGGCCCTCCTCTTCTTGCAGAAAATCAGCAAAGCCACTGGTAAGACAGTGATCAGAATAAGAGCCACCACAGGCAGCGTACCTGCAGTAACTTACCACAAGATATTTGTTTTAGTCAAACAGTGTAAATATATGGCCTAAAGGCTTTACTCACTTTTCAGAAAAAACTGCATACACCCAGTGTCATATGGACTGGCATACTTACCACAAATATTGAAACATTCACCAGACAAACTGCTTATCAAGCATGACTGAAACTTTTACAGCTGCTCAGAGCAGTTTAGTGTAATATTTGCCTGATTTTACATGTTTTATTTACACTTATTGAACTTTTTACTTAAAAGAACAGATGCGTGTATACTATTCCAACCAACCGACGTGCAGGTGGCTCAGTTATAAACACACTTGAAATTTAACAGGCCCGGAGGACATCCTAGTCTACACACCCACACACACATCACGACACACACACACACACACACTGCACACACACACATATATATATTATATATATATATATATTTATATATTATATATTATATTATATTATAATATATATATATATATATATATAATGTACCTAAATTTGGAAGAGGTGTCTGTGTCTGTTTGGAGGTTGAAGAGGAGGCTGGTGAAGGTGTGGTGCCTCCTGAAATGGAATTTAAACTCTGTGATGTTGGGGGTCTTTGGTGATGTTGTCACCGTTGCTGTTGTCATGGGGGCTGATGAGAGAAATGTTGAAACTGGCGAAGGTTGCACAGTAGACTTTGGTTTTGAGGTCACTGAAGCTGTGAAGATGAAACATCCACAATCACAACAATACTACTCAAAGAAGTTTGTATGTGTTCATGCGAGAAACAGTTTGGGGTTGTTCTGTGTTTTACAGAAGAATTTATAAAAACCAATTTTGTCTAAATATTATGAGTCACTTGAAAGAAAATAATTCTTCATGTCTTCACAAACATGACATTTAGTCAACTCACCGTCTGTGACAACAATCTCAAATTCTTCATTTGAATCAAATGGCAAAATTCTGTCCAAAGAGCATCTGTACATTCCAGAGTCAGATCTTCTCAGCTGTGTGATGCTCACATTCAGAACTGTCTTATGTAATGGATAAAATCCTTCTTTATATTTAATGCTGTATCTGCCATTCTGCGCTGAGTCATCAGTTGTGTCAATGAGAATGTTTCCTTCTTCACATTTTCCCGTACAGAAGAGTCTCCTTCTTCCAGTTAAAGAAAATGTGCATTTAACTGTGATGCTTCCACCCTCCATTTCTGTATAGATGGGAGTTTCTGCATTAACAAAACCAGAGTATCCTGCATCCTGCAGTCCTGCTGAAAATACAATAAATCACTAGTTACTTTCTTCTCGTAAAATTTTGCAGCCTAAAAAGATATATTAAAATGAAAGAAGACAAATCTTCACTTTAACACAACTTTTCAAGTTAAGTCAGCGTTTTCAGTATGTTTAACTTGTGTTTTAGTTATTTGAATTTGCAAACCATGGACTTCCTGGTTTTTGTTGGGATCTACACAAACCTTTTGCTGAGGAAGACTCAGAGTCACAAATTTAATGATAAACAATTCTAATTAATCGAAACAGTGGGAACCGGTTCTTGTTGAGAGCCTCATTTACCTGGCAGGAAACATGGCGCCTAAGCGGCTCAAACGCTCAAAAGTTTGGTTACACTTTACGAGAACAGATGACAACAGGGCAACTTGCAAAGTAGATATTTCATTTAAGGGAGGAAGCACTACGAATATGCAAATTTACAAACTTGCAACAAATATAGACAAATGACTGTGAGTTTCATTTATTTATGACGACATCTTAATCTGCTTTTTGGATGTTTACAGGTTAAAATTGTCTTTTTTGTTGCTTAACATCCAAAGCTTTCAGGTTGTCAACACTTGTTCTCTAATGTTTTGCTTCACAAAAGATGAGAATGGTACAGCAAACAAGGAACCAACTCTGAGTACCGTTTCGAAAATGATGGTAACATTTAACTGCTTTACCTATCATTTCAAGGGTTTCTTGTCTTTGCTAAAACAGTTTTTAGTTCTTCACAGGTTTAGTTGTACTTCCAGTGAACTGCATGTTTGACTGACTCTTTCCAACTCTGCGTTTAACCACAGAAACCAATAACATGTAAGAGGCAGAAGAAAATGAAAAAATGCTGAAACAGCTTATCGCTACAACTGCTCAACAAGAAGCTTAAGCTTACTGATCAACTAGAAATAAAAAGGAAACAAAGACAAATAATACGGAGACTAACAAAATTAAAGAAATATTAATAAATTGACCCACCAAGAAAGATGAAACAGACCAAAGCGCGGAAGACTTTCATACTGAGGTTCTGAGGCATACTGATATTCAGGTGGCTTCTCTTCTGTTTTCACTTTCAAACGAGGACGTTTTCACTTCTCTTTTATGATGTGGTCCCTTCTTCAAACAAACCTCACACACACACATGCATACACACACACGCACACACACATACACTTTTGGTAAAGTTGTTAGTGAACAGCTGCTTATTTACAGAGTCATAGACCCAATGGAATTACAACTGTGTGAACTCCAAGTAACTGGCTCTGGTAGGTTGAGTGTTGATGTTTAAAGAACAATTCATATGACAGTAGACTTCAAACCAAGTAGTTCTATGTGCATTTTTACTTGCCTTTCCTATTTGAAAATTGTCAGTTAAACTCTCAACATCACAAAAGTACCAGATGAATAATGAAGGCGTCATGGCCTTGAACACAGTTTAAGGTACAACTACATAACAATAAGGCAGAGGTCGGGAGAGTTGAAACAGAAATTTTCCATCATCGTATATTTATTTTGAATC